TTAAATTAGGTGAGTTCTATGGCATGTAAATCTACCTTCATGCTGAAGAATAAAACATTCTAAGGGGAGATGTAATGAGGAAAATCAACGCTAAAAATTGAGGCACAGCTTGAACGTTACTTTAAGGATTTTGTATATTTGCTCATTTAAGCAAATGTATAAATGTTTATATGCGTCTGCATCTTTTTGAGAAGAATGAAGGATTGAAAGGAACACTGACCTTCAAAAGAGGGTACCCTCGAAAGGAGATGTAGATGTTGATGGGGAGACATGATCACTCTTCAGATGTTGGAAGGAAGTAGATACCCTTGTTCTTCGGTACTCTAAGATGGAATACTGCCCAACGAAATATGAAAAGGTGCCTATGGCACTGTAACTGAGGATGACCTCAGTTACAGTGAGACTATTTAGCAATATGATTTGTGGAATATTCCTTTTGTCATTGGATATATGTAAATAGATGCCGAGGGGACATTTTGTTTTGGATGCTGTAGGAGATTTTGCTTGGTAGCTTCTACATTCCCTTCTGGTGGTCACTCCTGACAAGCCACAGAGGGAGCAGCTGAGCTGCCAATTTGATCTATTCCGACTACCTTTAGTTTAGATCCATAAAGAGCTAAGGAAAATGGAAAAGTTCTATCATTTCGGTATTGACTTTTTCCCTTTTCTCTGGATTTTATGCCTTAGTTCATCCATTCTTTCTCTTTAGATACCCAATGCCTTGTTTTTTATCCCCCATCAAAACATGTGGAAGGGGAGAGGGAGCTGATTGTGTGTCCTGCTGATGACTTTTTTGCTGGAGAGCTGGTGGCACCTCATTGTATAAGTAAACAAGTAGAGACTCAGTTATTATGCATTTTGAGGCCATGTAGCTTAGGGATCTTGGTCCCTGGCCATTTAACAACCTGGCTGCACAACAGGAGGTGAGGGGGTGATAGAGCAGATGGAGCCACTCCCCGTCATTTGCATTACAGCCTGAGCTCTTCTTCCTGTAGGATCAGCAATGGCATTTGATTCTCATAGGAGTGTGAACCCTGTTGTGAACACGCATGTGGTGCACACGGGGTATCTAGCTGTGTGCTTCTCATGAGAATCTAATGACTGATGATCTGTCACTGTTTCTCATCATCCCCAGATGGGACAGTCTAGTTGCAGGGAAAGAAGCTGATGCCTCCCACTGATTCTACATTATGGGGAGTCATGTAATTTCATTATATGTTACAATGTAATAATAAACAAGTAAAGTGCACAGTAAATGTAACATGCTTGAATCACCCCAAAACCTTACCCCACTAGTATGAAAGAAAAATTGTCTTCCGTGAAACTGGTCATTGACACCACAAAGGCTGGGATCTGCTGATGTAGCTCGGAAACAGTGGATCTGGATTTGAACCTGTATCTGTTCTACTCTGAGCATGCTGTTTTAAGTAATCGGATTTCATTTGGCTGAAATTTATTTGCACTATCTGTCACAAGTGGTTTGTCCTTTATATCTTTTTATAAAATGAAAAACTATTGCTGTTAAAGGAATTAAAGATATCAGTAGGCACAAGAGAATCTTTCTTGAGAGGTATCACGAGGAAGTACAAGTGAGTTTCTTTTGATTTTTGACATCGTGCTATGTTTAAGAACTGTTACCAAAGTTTAGTGTGTGTATGTATGTGTTTTAAGATTACTCAGGGAAATGATTAGCCATGGGTCTTTTCTGGCCTCAGAATTCCCCAGGGGGTTGTGTCCTCTAAAAAGCAGCCACTAGACCCTTTTTCCTAGGACCTGTGTGGTGCAGAGGGTCTGAGAGCGTCTTTGGCCTGTATGTTTGGCACTGCAGCCTGGCATAAGCTTTATTGCTTCAGCATACATCCTGAGGCTCCAGCCCTGATCTCCTTGTTCTAGAGTCTCCCTTCATCCCTCTTTTACAAGACCTCTGTCACCTGTGTTCCCCTCTGTGGTTGATGCCATCTGACTCTGTCCTTCTATTTTCTTTGGCCTCAGCACTCATAGGATGTCTGACTGCAGGCCAGGAGGAGTGAGCAGCAGGATTTAGTTGAGGGTCACATTGCTGGGGCTTCGGGCTTCCATCGGGTTTAGCTGTGGAGTGTGTTTCTCAGGCACAGGTTGTGCTGTGTGGGACAAGTAGACTGTGTCAGAGTGGGAAGGAACAGAACTGAGTTTAAATCCCTGAGATGCATGAATTTCAGCCTCAGTTTAGCAGATCTCTTCAGTATTTTGTTGTAGACAGAATTCCAGTAAAGGCTTTGAATTTTGACATCGGGCCATTTCACAACTGAATACATGAATGTTCATTGGTTCATTCATTTATTCATCTTATTTGTTAGACCCACTTTGCACCCCTTGCTTATGTTGTAGGCACTGTGCTGCAGCTTCCCCTCCACGGAGTTCAGCATGGTGGGAGGCATGTGATCACACAGTTTAATACTGTGTGGTAAGAGCGGTGGTAGGAGAGAGTTCATAAGAATAACTAACCCAGCTAGGAGCGAGCAACTCAGGCAACAGCTTCCTGCAGGACATGGTGCATGAATTAGATACAAGGACCCCAAGGGACTACAGAGGTAGCATGGGAGGATTTTACTGTGGGGTGGACAGCATAGGCAAAGTCATGGAGTCATGAAAGAGCATGGCGTGGAAGCACTAGCAGCTTAATAAATAGCCTCATTAGAGAGGTGTGTGTGTGTGTGTGTGTGTGTGTGTGTGTGAGAGAGAGAGAGAAAGAACATGCAAGCATGTTGGCTGGTGGGGATGGGTGACACATCTCAAGGCATGCTTTCCCAGCCCTTCCTTCTCCATTGGCTGAAGTAGATTGTGTTTTTCACCCTGTTCCCTCTGCCTAGAGTGTTCTTTCTTCTCCTATTTCTATGCAGGTGACAGTTACCCTGTCTTGTCAAATGAGAAACAAATACATCAAATGCATTTCATGTTCTAAGGAATATAGACATAGACAGGGCTAAATTCTTCTTTTATTTATATGCATCTTAAAAATGGACACGCATGTGCCTTGCCTGTAAAAAATGTATGATCTTTGGGAACAATTCCTGCATGCATCTTGATGTGTGTCACAACCAGCAACATTTAAATAAGACTGCATGGGGAGGTATAATCTGTGTGCATGGACTTTGCTCACATAGAAATTCAGCTCACTGGTGGCAGTCACATGCACGCATCATTGTTTGACATTATCTTGCTTGGCTGCTTTTTAATCTGTCCTTCCTGTGCGCTGTGAGTGCTGTGGGAGGATGGTCCTGCCTGTCTTATGTACTGCTCCATCCCAAGGGCCTCACAGAGTGCCTGGCATATGGTAGCTTCTCAGTGAATACTTGGAAAGGATGAGTTTATGGTACAGCCTGTTTTTGTTTACCCTCTACCACCTGCTTTGCCCTATTCACCATAACTGTGCTTTCTTCCTCCCTGGAAAATACTGTCTCTTTTTTCCCCAGAGGTGTTTTTCACCCTGTTCCCCCTGCCTAGAGTGTTCTCCTTTCTTCTTCTATCCCATCTCTCTTCCTGATCTTTCAGATTTCACCTGAAATATTACATCCGTAGCAAATCTTGCCTAGATCTCTCAATCTAGGACAGATGATTTACACATCCTCTCATGGAACTGTTTTCCTTTCCTTCTGTGAGTTTATCCCAGTTTTTAATGATAAATATTTGAGTAACTTGAGTAATGTGTTCTGCCCTCATTGACTGCAAATTCTATGTGCCTGTTTTATTTTCTGAATATAGTCATTAGTAAGAGACTGTAAGTTCTCAGTGTTTACTGGTGAATGAATGAGTGATGACTTCCGCATGAGAACACACCCTGTCCAATGAGCTTCCTGGAGCTCCTGCTTCTGAACTATAGCCTCTGCCTCTCTTAGAATGCTGGGTGCACATCAGGGCCTGCCCTAGGGGGTCTTGTGAACAGCCACTGTAGCACTATAGATTCTCTTGTCTCTTTTCTGTGCCCCTGGAGCAATGTCTCCTCTCTGATTCTTATAGCTGGACTATCTCTTGCCGGACTATACTCTCTATTCCTAGAAAAGAAGCACAGGGCTGGAAATGAGGGAAGGGCTGAATGTAGGGAGCCTCTCCACCTAGGTTGTGGAAGAGGAGAGGGAAGAGAAATGTGTTTCAGGCATATTCAGTTGGAATAAGACATTTTTTTTTCTGGAGAACATAGCACAGTGTGGCTGTGTTCTGTGATAAGGGAGTGTGCTGAACAAGATTTTGTGAATGGGTGTGGGAACACGGGTGACCTTTGTGTATTTTGTTTCTTGGTTTTCTAACTTTTTAATGGGAAAAATTTGTTTTGAGTTCCAAAAAATGATCTCATACTTTTGGAACACAGCATGAGAGAACTGCCAATATTCAGATATAAATAGGAGAAATAGGGGATGTTAAAATGGGAAGAGTGGACTCCTATTAACCTTGAGAGGTTAAGCTGAAATACTTCCTTATAACTTGGAAAGTAATTTTTAATAAGGCAAATGACCCAAAGAAAACATGTAAAAGATGGAAGTATATGGAGTAAAATTGCATAAATCTAATGGGTCGCCAAGTTGTGTATGGAATTATAGTGTAAGAGCTGTAATTTTAAAATGATTTTAAACATACCATCATGTGGCCCATCAATTTGAACAAATATTTATTGTGTTCCACAGTATTTCCAGAAATGCAAAGGAGATGGGCTCTTATTTGAAATGCACAGTTGAGAACATTAAGAGAGTGATAACTGCAACACATGATTACTGTTATAAAAGAGGGGTGGGACGTATTGTGATATTTTCCTCAGAAGTTGCTTTATTGGTAAAATTGAACAGCAGACTAGAACATGAAAAAAAGATTGAATTCAAACTGACTTACACAGGGTGGCCTTAGTGATTGATTTTATGAGATTAAGGGAAGCCACCTTGCTTAGGACGACTTTATGTCTCTATTAAAACTATCCTTAGTAATTCCACGTTGACACTAAATGTCAGTTTATTTGATCTTTTGGGGAACAGTGTTACCTTCAGACACTTGGTCTCATGTGGCCTGCATCATCAGATGTGGCAACCCCCGACCCTGGCCACCATGAGGAGCATGGATCCCTGGACAGATGCTGCTGGACACCTCATTCAGGAGGTCAGCCCATCAGCTGCAGGAGGGCGGGAACCGGTACTCAGCCTCATCCCAGTGGCTGCAAAGTCCCCAGTGCCAGGGCCCCTCGCTTTTGGCGCTGGTTGAGGAGAAGCAGCGGAAGGGGCTGGTGAAGTCAGGTCGGCCCTGGAGCAGGCCAGACCCAGTGATCCTCTCTGGGGAAGGCCCGCTAGCCCACAGGGCCCTGCACGAGGTCCCTCTAGAAAGTGGCTCAGGGGCGGTTTTTTGCCAGGCGCAGATTCTTGCCTCCCCCATCAGCAGTGGGCGGGCACTGGTTGAGGTGCGCATGTGTGCTGGTGCCTAACAGCTCTGCCCCGGAGTCTCCTCAGAGGTTGGAGATTGTTGAAGAGGTTGGAGTGCGCCTTCCTTTCTGGTGCTGTACTGGGTGGGGGCTTGGCAGAGGGAAGGGCGAGGGTGAGTTGTGATGTCACTGAAGCTGGTAGTGGGCCATGAAGATCGTGGCTGTGGAAAGCCAGAAGGGTCAGGTGCCCCTGCGCTCCTAAAGTAACCGTATCTTCATTGACCTCTGGTTCCAGACCCCAGAGGAGAATGTCGGGAGGATCCATAAAAGCTGTGTCCAGTGGAATGAGTGGAAGCTGCAGCGGCGCCTCCAGCTCAAGAGACAGGACCTGTCTGAAACCTACAAGAACAGGTGGGAAATGGGGGCTGAGGGCTGGGGGATGCGGGAGAAGGTGAGCAGGTGGGGAGAAGCACCCCCTTTAGAGTTGGGGAATGGGGCAAAGGGAGGAGTGGAAAGTGGGGTGTGCGGGGTGGGCTGTCCTGATCCCCAGGGCTTCCCTGGCAGACTCCTCAGCACCAGTGACGTAGACACCTTGGAGGTGGAGGATCCAGGCCATCTTGATGAGCAGCAACAGAAACCCAACACTTTAGCTGGTTTTGGACTCACTTATAGTTCCTCTCACAGAGCACTTAGAATTTTAAAGTGATTTAATTAGCAAAATTAACTTTATACAGTAGTTTTATTTTTACACATTTTAAAACATAATGTTAGATACATTATAGAAAGAAGCATAATGAAAGAAATAGTTTCCATAATGCCTTCTGGGCTAAGAATATTTTGACTAAAATCCAGTATTTTATATCAATGAATGCCTATGTAAATATGTTCTTTGCTGAGGGACCTTAGAAATAAGCTTTGAAGTGGGAAGATGGTTTATGTTCTTGAATAAGACAACTCATTTTTCTGAAGGTGTGAGCTCTTTATCAATTTTACATAAATCATAGTTAACATTATTTGAAATACACATGCTGTCTTTTAATATTGTGTTAGCATTAAGAACATTATTGTAATGGAGTTAGAAAGTCTTGCCTGTCTAGATCTGAAAATATGCTATTAATTTTCAAAGATAATTTGCTAACAGCTGAAAAGACAGATAAATGAATTAAAGAGAATAGGTCCAGAAACACCCAAGAATTTATAACCTGGTGAGATTTTATGCCAATAGGAAAAGATGAATTACATTTATAAATGAAATGCTGCTTTGTGGAGAAAACTAGCTCGATTTTTATGCCAACAAAACGAGTTCCACATGGAATTTAGATTAAATATACAAAATTAGAAAAACTGCCAGAAGGAAACAATACCTCTTCATACAGATAGATTTTTGTGTTAATGACCTTCCTAAGACCATTATGCAAGCATTCCAAAGGTTTAATTTAGCAAAATTAAAACTAAACTTTACATGACAAAAGACATCATAGTTGTAAAATACTTAATGTGTGTGTGTATATATATATAATATTTATTATATAAATGATATATATTATATATTTATATATTATATATATAACATATATATAAAATGGATCTTCATTTTACAGAGAATTCTTTCAAGTCAACATGTGAAGAACTCTAAAATTGGGCAAAGTAGTTTCTTCAGATCTGGAAGTGATTTATGCACATACGAAAAATTAGTGTTTCTGCTAAGAGAAGGAATTGAATTTAAAAGCGGGATGAAATACTCTTTCCTATCTACAAAGTGTGTAAGGATGAAGAACAGTGATATTTACACTGCTGCTTAAAGTTTGTTACTGATGACTTAAGTCTACAATGTGGTGGTAAGTACCACATTCAAAAAATGTTTATGCTCTTTACCGATCAATTCCATTATACTAAAATATATTTAGGAAACAATGAGAGATACATGCAATTTGTTTTTCTCAGCCATGCTTAAAATATCATTGTATTAAGAATTCATATAAGGGAAGTAGTAAATTTGTGGATTAGTGTATTCTGTGAACTTTTAGCATCTTCAGAAGTGAAGAGAATCTTTTCATCTGTGTTTGTTGAGTTATGTACTTTTTTTCCTTTTTTTGTTCAAGACAAAGCCTCACTGTTTTATCCATGCCGGAGGCAGTCACGTGTTCTTGGCTCACTGCCACCCCTGTGTCCCGAGTTCAAGCGATTCTCCTGGCTCAGGCTCCAAAGTAGTCGGATTTACATGCATACATTAGGACACCCGCTGAAAATTTTGTATTTTTAGTGGAGATGTAATGTTGCCATATTGGTCAGACTGGTCTTGACCTCCTGGCCTCAAGCAATTTCACCTGCCTCTGCCTATGTCCTGGGATTACAAACATGAGTCGCTGCACCAGACCTATATATACATTTTATTAGACACATATGTTTGCATTATTTATAGATTTATTTCCTATATGCCAATTATAGATTAATAATTTGTTTTATGAAAATTAGCAAGTATGAGTGCTTACTAACATTGCAAAAATATTGCTTTATTTGTAGCAATCTTTTAAAATAATGAACATCACAATGGTATGTATACATTTTTATAAATCCATTTATTGATCAACTATAAGTGGAATACCTGTTATGTAGAAGACACATTCCACTAAATCTCAAGAAACATCCATCCTTAAAAATTTCATGTTTACCTTCCCTGCCTGAGCAAGAGGAGAAGTTTAAAATTGCAGTATTGGGACAGAATTGCAACTGAATCTTTTATTCTTGTCATTCAAACAAGTTTCTGTTATGGGAAAGTAGTACAAGATAACATAAGATGCCATTTTGAAAATTGGTAAGTCTTAATCTTGTACTTTATATGCATTCCATACATATAAATACTAATTTGCATGCATTCTGTAAATCTACTGAATAAAATGAGCAACTGTTATTTGAATCCTAACATTCCTTTGGCTATGGATAGGGAACCAGTCAGGTCTCCTGCAGGGATGCAGGAGAGGTGAGTAGCAGGGTGTTCTGGTTACCGCGTGAAGCAGAGATTGAGCAGCTTTTCCTGTAAAGGGCCAGGTGAGAGGCACCTGTAGGCCCCATGGTCTCCGTCGTGTCTGCTCAAGGCTGCTGTCTCAGTATGCAGGCTGGCAGAGATGATGTGTGAGCAAAGAGTCCTGACCGGACTCCGGGAAAGCATCGATTCCGGAAGCGTGTAGACCTCACAGCCTTTGAAACGATATGGCGATTCTTTCCTGGGTCCCCTTTCAAGAATCTTTCTGGCGACTTATGCAGATCATCTCCAATGTGCTTGGGCTCTGTCGGGATTCCTGGGACCCTGATAGGGCATCCCTGTTTGTCTTCTGGGCTTCAGGATGTACTGGTCTTACCATGTTCCCACTGACCCCAGACCCATCTTGTCACGACTGCCCAGTGGGGAGGAGAGGAGGTGCTGGCATGAACAGGGCTGGACGGGGGTGCCCCACTCATCTCTGTGCCCCTGCAATGAATCGGCATTACTGTGTAGCCCTCGCCTAGCCTTCATCTCTGTTCTAAGCTTAGGTCCTGTGTTATCCTGGGAGGACCAACCTGCAGCTCTGATCTGTGGGTCTCTTGCACCTGCAGCCTCGGTTCAGCCTCAGTCCTTGTCTCCGTGACCTTGAAGTGACTCTGGCTCACAGTGTTCCAGGAAGAAAATGATGATCTCCACTGTTGGACTCCCACTTTCCAGTTCTCACACTAGACGAGGAGCCTGTGTTTCAGCTGGCTGCTGCAAGGGGACTGGACATCCCTCCCTTCAGATGGGACCTGGGAGGTCTGGAAGCATCTGGAGAAGGAGAAGGGTGTGGAAACAACTAGAGTAACAGAGGTTGTAGCTGGAGGGAAGGAGAGAGGAATACCCATGGAAGCCCTTCCCGTGCTCGCCAAAAGAGCAGGCCCTCGGACTCGAGAGGGCCATGCGTAATGCCTTCCTGACATAAGGTAGTAACCTCTGGAGCACTTGTGGCTGGGGGTAAAAACTCGCCCGGGCTAGGATGAAGGAAGAATCTCCTCTCTTGGCAGAGGGGCAATGACTGGAAAGGAGCAAGTCGATGGGGTACTCATAGGGCCACAAAATGGAGGCCCTATGCAGGCGGGTGTACAGACGGCCCCAACAGCTCCCGGAGAAATTGTCCCTGGGGCATAACCGGAGGCCAGAAGCAGGAGGGAAAGCTTCTCAAACACTTTGGAGCTGGAAGGAAAAGCAGCAAAATACAGTTGGAAGAGGGTGAAGCGGGTGACTTGAGGGATGGCGTGCAGGGTTTGACTTTTTGACTTCGGGGATCTCCTAGGTTGGCAGGCTGGTGGGGTGGCATCATTGCTTCTCCCCTGGTCCTTCCCTTGGGTGGGGCTGTCCACTGGTGCCACGGCCTGTCAGCCTGTGGGCAGGGGGTGGGCATAACAGGCATGCACAGTATGGTTGCCGGACTCGCACTTGAGGTGTACTCACTGGAGGTGTTCTTCCCTTACCTGTGGAGTGTGCTCAGAGGAAGGCAACAGGCTGCTTAAGCCCACCGGCTTGGCTCCATAGGGAGCCTGCATGAGCCCACGGGCCCGACTCCTGCAATCTTATTGGGAAGCTTCTGACATCACACTTCTGGCGCTTCTATCAGGGGACGGCCCCAGCCAGCCACAAGCATTTTATCCTCCATAGGTACTGTTCAACAAGCGCTGCCTGAATGTCACCCTGTGAGTGAGGGTTGTCTGACATTTGTGGTGGTGGTGGGGGGGAGACCCCCTCTCATACCCTGCTAGTGTCAGACCAGCTACCTAGAGTGACAGGAACGTCTTCGGGATTGAACATTTGGCAGAAGGACATCCAAGAAGATGGAATGTGCGGCTGAAGGGCCATCCAGGAGGATTGCACATTGGGCAGAAGGAAGACCTAAGGACACCGTGTGGACAGCAGGAGTGCCTTTGGAGACGGCCTGGTGGGTGGAGTGACCATCTGAGAGGACTGCAGGGTGGGTGGGAAGACTGCAAGGCCTGCCACTGAAATGCCTACAAACGACTAAACGTGTGGCAGGAGAAACACCTGAGATGGTGGAACACCTGGCGGGGGAGCAAGGGACACAGTGGAGTGTTTGGCAAAAGGAAGGCTTAGGTAGGTTGTGCATCTGGCCGAAGGAACACGTGAGTCCAAGGCTGCTTCCCAAGCGGATCTGGTTGGTAGACCATGACACTGATTCCTGCCTCTAAGCCTAGCTTTATTCTCAGCAGCCACCACCTTTTTGGTACTAGAATAGTGTTTTTTCTAGTACACTCATAAGCGGATGCTGAAATCACAACCTGGCCATTTGGATGTTCAACTAATGCTTTATGCTGTGGAGTCCCTGGAACTCACCAACCCATGTTGGAACTCACTGGAGCTCAGGAGTGTAGCACTACCTTGTTTCTCTATGGCTGGGAGTACAAACATTGGAAGTTTTGTTTTGTGAGACAAGGTTTCACTCTGTCATGCAGCCAGGAGTATAATCGTGGCTCAGTGCAGCCTTGACTTCCGGGGTTCAAGCCACCTCACCTCAGCCTCCCAACGCGCTAGGAATACAAGCGTGAGCCACGGCACCTGGCCTACTTTTGAGCTTTGAGTTCTTGATATATTCTAGAGATGAGTCTCTGGAGTTGAGTCCTTGGTCTGATAGGTGGTTTGTAAATGTTTTCCCCAATCTGTAGCTTATCTTTCTATCTTCCTAATTGATTCAGAGAGCAAAAATGTGGTCTCCCTTGCAGATACTCTGCCGCTGTAGCAAGAAAGCAGACAGTACGTCGATGAACATGTGAATGTAACCCTTGAGTAAGTGTCCATTTGTGGTAAAGAGATCTCTAGACAGATCAGTGCTGAGAGGTTATTTTATTAAATAATAGTTAAGCTGGGTATAAACTCGAACCTCATTCTTGCTTTCTCTTACTGCACTGTCTTCTGTTGCTGCTGGTGGGAGAGCAATTGTCAACATGTTCTTCCTTCTTTCCACCCTCCTCAGTAGCTTTTAGGACCTTTTGTCTTCTCTGCAATTGTGTTTGGATGGGTCTAGGTGCGGATGGATTTATTGTATTGGGGATTGTGCCTCCTGACTCTAAGGGGTCCTGTCTGTTTTCATTCTGGAATTTTTTTTTTGAGACAGACTCCTACTCTGTCACCAGGCTAGAGTGCTGTGGTGAGATCTCGGCTCACTGCAACCTCCACCTCCTGGGTTCAAGCATTTCTCCTGCCTCAGCCTCCCAAGTGGCTGGGATGACAGGCGCACACATCCACGCCAGGCTAATTTTGGTATTTTTAGTAGAGTAGGGGTTTTACCATGTTGGCCAGGCTGGTCTTGAATGCCTGACCTTAGGTGATCCACTCATCTTGGCCTCCCAAAGTGCTGGGATTACAGGGATGAGCCACCACACCTGGCCTGGAATTTCCTTGAGACGTGTTGGATCCTCTCATTTCAACCTCCCTTTGTCATATTTTCCAATTGATTAATTTTCTCTTCTGCTGTTGAATTCATTAAGTTTTAAATGTCTGTGAATGGCAGCCACTAATTCTGGCATCTGAAGCTCTTGGAAGTCCACTTCTCTTGTTGCCACTGACTTCTATGCCCTTTTAGTGGGGCTTTGGCTGTGGCTATCATATGCAGCACTGGCTAAAGAATCTCAAGGTAACTACTGTTACAGCTGAATTAGAGGTCCACCCTGGTAGTGGGGACAAACCCCCACACATTTGGTCACAGAATTCATCTTCTGTGTGGATGATTTTTGTGGTATGAGAGCAGAGGGAAAACAGGAGCTGAGCATTTTCCCTAAACGGTGGTGGACATTCAAATTTCTAGTGAGGCTGGGCGCAATGGCTCAAGCCTGTCATTCCAGCACTTTGGGAGGCTGAGGCAAGTGGATCACCAAAGGTCAGAAATTCATGACCAGCTTGGCCAACACAACAAAACACCATCTCTACAAAACTACCTGCTTGTATTATTGGGAGGCTGAGGCAGGAGTATTGCTTGAACCTGGGAGGTGGAAGTTGCAGTGAGGTAAAATTGTGCCACTACACTCCAGCCTGGGCAGATCATAAATAAGAGAAATAATTGGCTCACAGTTCTACAGGCTGTAGAAGCATAGCTCCAGCATCTGCTTGGCTTCTGGCGAGGCCTCAGGAAGCTTACAATCATGGCAGAAAGAGGAATTGGGTGCAAAGAGAGAGAGGAGGTACCAGGCTCTTTCTAAACAAACTGCTCTCCTGCGAACTAACAGAGCAAAAACTCACACTTCACCAAACAGAGGGTGCTAAGCTATCCATGAGAAACATACCCCTTCTAACAAACATGAGATTGGGAGGGGACACACATCCAAGCTGTGTCAGGCTGTAAATGTTTTGACTCTTACCTCCTTGAATGACCATTATTTGTCCTCCCTGGCAAGACAGCGAGCCTCTGGCTGCAAGGCAGATGCCAGACGGGGCAGAGTGCCAGCTGGCTGGGGCAGCTTACCGCACTGTGGAGGAGGAGGTAGGGGCACGAAGCTGGGGGCACATAGGTAGATGTAGACAGCTGCCAGAGTGCAGGCAGGCTGGAGCTTCCAGGTGCCACAGGGCTCCTGAACACACAGGCTGAGGAATGGTACAGGGTCCACCTGAAATCACAGTTACCTATTCATTGTCCCTACCCTGGGGAGTGGTGAGGAGGAGGGGAAAAGGGATTTCTGTGCCCCAGGGGCCAGGCTCACACTCACTACCCAGAGGAAGTTCCCCAAGCTGGAGCGGGGGTCATGGAAGAAGGCCCAGCAGGCAGGGCTCTGTCCTGGGCAGGCCTGCTGAGTTTTTCAGTGGCCCTGCAGTCACCATCCACCTGGCAGGACAGACCCAAGACTCAGGCCTCCCGCTGGACCAGGTGGCTCCCCCACATACATCGGTCTCAGCAGGAGACT